CCAATTTCCCAAAAATTTTCAACAGATAGCAGAAGTTACAAACGGATACTATCGCAAGTTTCATGTTCCTGGCATCATCGGATGTATTGGTTATTCCCACATAAAAATAGTTCCATCACGTGGATATCTACTGAACGTATTCATGAATCCGAAGAACTTTTACAGCATAAACTGTCAAATAATTTGCGATTCTAATTGTGAAATATTAGCCATAAATGCCAGTTTCCAGGGAGCGTTCACGACGCAGCTATTTGGAGGATGAGTAATCCAAGAAGATTTATGCATCAGAGATTTCTTCATGGCAGCCATGGAACATATTTACTCGGAGACTCGGGATACCCCGTTTTGCCCTATTTGTTAACTCCCATCGTTCGTGCTGCACCTAATACACCTGAAGGTAGATATACTCAGCGACACCGACAAATCTGCAATTGTATAGAACGAACTAATGGGTTATTGAAGGGGGTCTGGAAGTGCCTATATCCTGATAGAGTTCTTCATTACCATTCAGCTTTCATTGCACGAATAGTTTATGCCTGTGCAATTCTACACAACATTATAGGGGACAGAAATATATTGGTTCCTGAAGATATCAATATACAGGAGAACAGTGATGATGAGCATCTTGATCAAAATGAAATTGACGATGCACAGCTAGTGAATGGGGAACATGATTTCGCAAATGATATTTTCGTGCCTTCGCTTTGGTTTGACTTTTCCAATCGCTGAAAATCTTGAATCCACCATTATTTTCATTAAAAAAAGGTAATACGACTTGGACAGGATAAGGCAGATAACTTACCCTTTTCTATCCCGCTACAGTCCTGATAGGACCCTCCAAAGCATTTAATTTTTCAGTTTAGCCCGAGTATTTCGAATCAGATCAGGTTCGGAACCATCGAATTGATTCTCGCGGAAACATTTGTTTGTGCCTAGCTCGTCAAGATACATTTGATATTGATCCCGAGTTGTTCTAGCCGATATACCTTTAGCTTTCTCACCTTCGATACTCATTATAATAATTTCTAATTTTATTTATAATAATTTTGCGCAGTTAGGCAGTAAATATCTAAAAACTAATCTGAAAAGAGCGGCAAATCCTGACCGAAAACTGACAGTTACAACTAAATGAAGTTAGCTTATGCTAAATCAGCACTACCAACCTTCGAAAAATCACACGATATTTGTCGTTACGATTTGTCACTTAAGTTGAACGTAACGATTCGGTTACGGAATACGATTTCCGAAAATATCGTTCACATCAAAGTCGTTACCACAACGATGTCGTCAAGTAACGACAAGTTACAGAATCAGCCCCTTAGTCTTATTTTATTTGTCGCCGATGCTCTAATAACTGGACCTGAAGATGAAGTCAAGAAATTGATGAATTCAATGTTTAGATTTCAAAATGTGTTTAATCATTTCTAGAAATTGAAGTAAATCAAACTGGAAATGGTTAAAAGATAGGTCAAAGAAAAATGATATGTGGCTTGATAGAAGAATTTGGAATGAACGAGTTTAGACCAGTGGCTACTCCGATGGAAACAAACTTTGACATAGACAGCAATGAGCCAATGCTTCAAAATATCCCGTCTAGAAGACTGATCTGTAGTCTCATGTATCTATCTGTCAATTATTTCAAGACCAGACATTGCATCCAGTGTCTCGGTACCAAGTTAATATCTGGATAAACCATATACAAAAACCTTGCAAGCTGGGAAAAGAATAATTCGGTATTTGAGTGCAACTAAGGACTATGGACTAATATTTATGTGTGGTGATAGTGGACTGAATGGATTGTGAGTGACAGACCGGGGAAGAGACTGAGAGTCCATACAGATTGTTAGGTGGTGGCTCTGTTAGCTTTCATGCCAACAACTAACAACCCTATTGCATGTCATTCTCGCGAACAGCCATATATTGCATTGTCTTCAATGAAGACTAAGTACCTATAAAATTCGGAACGAAGTGAACATGTTGACATAAGATATAATCTCATCAAAAATTTGTATTTAAACAAACAATTAAATATTGAGTATCTACCGTTCATCTGAAAATATATCAGATAATATGTTCACAAAACCTTTGGATAAAGAAAAGTTTTAACATTTAAGATCTTATTTTTTAGAGTTATTGTTTGTTAGTAAACTTATTTGTTTATTTTTTTCCCAATTTAAAATGCAATTATTTTCTTAACCCCAGTTTCACAATGTGTCGTCATCAAATGTTTAAAAGAAGACTAAACATTAATGAATAAAAAGTGTTCCACATCATCTGGTCAAATACCATCTATTAATCTCGAGACAGAAATGAAAACTTTCCTCCGAAGTTTGTATACTATTTTATTTGCAAGCACACAATTAATTATGATTAGTCAATCAATTTTTTTAATATTAAAAAAATAAAACAAACATGCCAAAGTGTGTGCTTTGACATTTTTACCTGGCATGTTCTCACTGTGCAGCAAAGGTAAATAAATAACAATGAGGAAAATCGGTAAGGGAAGTCGAATAGGGAAATCGGTGAGGGAAATCGAAGAGAGAAGTGACACAGGTTAAGTGTCACTTCCAAATTTTTAAAAAGTCAGTAATGACAAGATTACATATCTGATTGCAAATAAATAATGATAAACTACGGTAACCACTGGCAGCAGGCAATTTTTTTTTTGAGTGTCTACGTCCTCAAGAATTTATCTGAAATTCAATAAAAACCATAAATGCTCAAGAAAAGAAACATCATAAGTATATATTTTCCGTATTCGCATGCTGAGTAATTAACCTGAGAGGTGAACTATCAATTTCTTTAGGACTATCTGATAAACTAAAGAACTCTTCTTCGTCAATAGATCATATTTTCCGAAATATGCCCCAAATTTTGATGTAGATTGGATAAATAATGAAGTGTGTGGTAGAAAAACACGACGGTTTTCTACCACACACTTCAGTTTTGGAACGACGTGTTTCATCGCGGCGATGAAAACCGTCATGTTTCATCGTAGTGTGTGGGGGCCTTTATTGGTTTCATATGGAATTGGGTGTCTGCTGGAAAAACAGAAATTTTTCTTTTCAATACAATAAATAAATTATATTAAATTACTGAAGTGCTCTTTTTTCGTTTTGATCAATGTAGTTTATTGGATTTTAAAAATGAGCGGAATTCGTAGGTTTTTTTTATTCGCGAAATAATCTATTAGCTACTCCTTCATAAAACTGGTCATCTTCGCACATTTTTGGATACAAATTCTTTTTCAGTTGAAACAAAAGATACGTTAGTTAGTCTGTTTTGGGACATGGTACTTCGAGAGTAAGATTTAATTCGTTTTAACGCTAAAAAATTCATTTTGACGAAAAATAAAAAATACATAGGTATATAAAATCCAAGAAAGATACACAATTGCACAATAATTTGAAATGCACCTGACGACAAAAAATATCAATCAACAATTTACGACTTCCGAATAGAAAAGTGACATGGAACTCCGAATGCATAAAAAAGAGATAAAAAAGCAACGATTGCAGTTTCCAACCTTGCAATCAAAGGTTGCGGCTAGCCGCTCTGCGACCGGATGGTGCCTGAACGCCAGGAATGCTTCGACATGTTTCCGGCATTTCTATTGGTCGCTGAGATTCGCGGTCCATTTGAATGCTAGATTTCAGGGAAGCATATGAGAGTCAAGCCTCCGGTCGACTTCTAATGGTAAAATTGCGGGCAAGGAACAGATTTTTGTCATGGAGGCGCGGAATTGTTTGAAATAATGTCAGATTGTTCCAAATTATATTAAAATATCGAAATTTGGAAAGTGTAATTTGTGAATTATAATATTAAATAGGAATTAGGGATAAAATATTGAGATTTAATTTTCAATTTTTTTTGGGGAGGCTTAGCCTGCCCTGCCTCCTCTGACGAGCCGCTACTGTGTTTTTCTGTATCCTGTATTTTTTTTTGTTTATGTTTAAACTAAATATGGATTTACATGAAATTGATGCATTTAGCGTGAAGACGAAGGTGGACGACGTGCAAAAATAATTATACCTAGAACTAATTTCTTTGAAGAATATGAAAAGAAGAAAGATTCTCCAGGGTCCTTATTCTTAAAACAGGGGAGCAGCGTTCCCAAGAAAACAAGTGTTATGTCTTTCTCAATGATATGCAAATGGTAATATCAGGTCGTCAGAAAAAAAACCAATCAAAGATTGCTATGGTTTTAAAACGTATGTCTTAGCATAATTTTTCTTCAATTTTGTCAATGTATTTTAATGTCAAAATGTCATGTCAAAAAACTTGACTAACAAAGAAAATAATAATGCGACGTATATACGTTTTCATAATCAAAGCATTTTGATTGCTTTTTTTTTTTGAAGACCCGACATAAGTAACAAAGACGGAACACTTGTTCTTCTGGGAACGCTGCTCCCCTGTTTCTAGAATAAGGACCCTAATCAGTTTAGACCTGGGTTTAGAAATTTTCTCAATGAAAATTTTATAAGATTACATTTCCTACAATTTTTCCTTCTCAACTTTCTTTGTGACTCACCCCCATTCAGCGGGGGGACACTTCCCTTAGGTTATTTTTTTTTTTATTTTCATTATAAATTTCAAACGGCCCTTATGACCACAGACGGCCCTTAATCAAAAAAGTCTTTGGATAAACATTGTAGATCGAATAATGTTGCACGTCCTTTATTTGAAACATTTTTTTGTGAAATCAATAGGTACCAAGTAATCGCCAATGGCAAACTTTCAACCCCTGTAGCGCAAAACGCCAGAGGGGTGTATGTGTGATATTTTCGGTTTTATGATCATCCACCCGCCTCCTATTATCCCTGAAAAGTTCAGTTGGGTAGGATTTTTTTTTGTTGCAATGCATGTGTTTTTCGATAATTTTCCTAGGCTTTAATGGAACAAACACTACTAGGTACCGCGACATTTCTCTGATAGGCGTTTCAACATACAAAATCAACAATATTAAATGAAAACAAATAAAATAAATTTCATCCTACCGTATCGGGAACATCAATTTCAAACTTTCTAATTGACTCGTCCAATTTGAAGGGTTGTTCTCCAGGGCCCCAATATTTGTCTGAGTCAAAATCTACCTCAACAGGCTTGGGGATGATGATTTTCTTATAGAAAACAAGCCCTACCAGTGCTAAAAGCACAAAAAAAACCTCCAGAACTGCCATAACGAATAAACTAAACTACAAATGATACTAATAACTATAGGTAGGTACCTGCATATATAATTATTAAAAAAGCAATGATGATAAAATATGACCTTGTGTAAAACCGCTAATATTTATTTTTAACTAAGCCACGATGATTTAGCACTTACATTATCAGGCACATCAAGTTTAAACTTTCTGACGCTGTCGTCTTGTTTCTGAGGCTCCTTTCCCGGTCCCCAATACTGGTTCCTGTTGAAACTGGCGGTAATCGCAGGAGGTGAGGTTATATTATGGAAACCCAGACCCAATAGGGCCAGAAAAACTGACAATAGAACCACCGAGATTTTTATTATTACACCCATCTCGTTCAAAGTGAAAACTATCATTGAACATAGAAAATTCATTGAAGGCTCGCGCTATCTATAAGTATCTAAAGGTCAAAATTTCAATAACAATTATTATATGTACCAACAGGCTAATTCATATTTGCAATATTTTTTTTTTTATTTGATAGATTCTTTAATTGATGTGGCTGATCAAATTTGTTTTGGGTATTTGATTATTATTCGTATATAAATATTGACATTATTATGCAGACTAAAATGTTGTAAATATTCATTTCTGGATTATTCGATACTGTTTACAAGAAGCGTTATTAAACGTCGTGTCATTTTAATCCTGGCACCATTGGATCATCCAAACATGTCTCCTAAGAGTTATCGCATCCAAATGGCATTGATTTAGGTCGTTGATTTAGGCGATCTTTTCTTTGTCCTCTGTAAGTTTCTCTTGCCAATATCCCCTTTTCAAATCTTGAGTTAAAAACCACTTGAAACCCTATAAATAAGGTGTTGTGGGTAACGTTAATCCGGCGTAAAGGGTAGCTATCTTTCTTCGTGACGTCATCCAGCCATCTATAATCCACAGAGAACCTCGTTGAGCCAGGCATTCTGGTAACTGGTACGACCGGCGATAAGCATATAATAATACATTCTTCTATGACGACATCCTTCCACATTTCTTGTGGCATGGAGTTAACTTGGTGGTGTTTTGCGAAATGAAGTCGTAGTACTAGTACCTACTCCCCGTCGTGATGCGATGTTCTACCTGGGCTGGAACTCTGTAACGGATAAGGATCGTTATCCCTATCGCTATGACACTTGCTGTCTTCTTCTTTCTTGTCGAAATAAATAGAGAGGAGACGTCAATAGTGGTAGAGAAAATATCTTTAATCGTTACAGAGTTCCAGCCCCTGAGGCCCGATTCTCATCTTAGGGAGTAGAGCTCCCCGATAGAACGAATGTAATTGAAGATCTGCTTGAAATTTGGCCCCCACAAAGCAACAGGCCTGAGCATGTGTTTGCGTGTTCAGTTCATTTCTTCAGTTTATTTGGTTCTATTAACTAACTGTTGTTTCTTTTTTTTTTGCTTCTTTATTGCACAAGCAAGCAAATTACAAGACAAAACTGTATCGCGAGGAGCTATTTTCACTGTAAAATGCTTAAAATGCGTTTGTCGCTCTGTGTGGAAAGAACTCTGTTAAAAACTGCGCGTGTGTGCAAGGGGCACAGGTACAAATTAATTAGCGTAAATTGGTTTGCACAGTTAGCCTGTGCAAAAAAACTGATCGTCTGTGGGGGCCTTAAGAGGCTTCAAACGACTCTGCAGTTACTTCGCCAGTAAGAGAATATGTCTGAGCAGCGACAAATAAAATGAGACAACGCACGGCAACCTTTAAAAACGCTTCTTGTATCGAATAATCCACAAATGAATATTTACAACATTTTAGTCTGTTCCAAGACGGTATATGTCAATATTTATACGAAAAATTATACACGAATGAAAATCAAATACCCAAAACAAATTACATTGCAACGTAATCGAGAAGTAAAAGAGAATGATAAAGACGAAAAAATTGTTCTCTCCGTGAGATGAGAATCAGGCCCCACAGATTGGTTCACCAAGTAGTATTTTCTTGTACCAAGACATCAGCTTCCCCTTTCATATTTCACAAGTTTCGTTCTAATACCATGGTGCCTTCTATAGATGTTTTTCTGGGTCTGTCTTTGCGACCGTTTCACTATTATCTTGACTTCGCGTATCTTCGTTGACAATGATTTTAACTTGACAGTCTTTAGTCTTTATTTGAAAATGGTGAGAAGTAGACAGATAGATAAGCAAAGCTTCCTAACACTAGTATGCATAGTCAATCGCCAGCAAGTCGCCAGAGAGTTGCTGTGCACTGGGCGAATTTGCCTATGCATTGCAAATTCGCCGACATGACACATGTGCATTTCGATATTCCTCGGCGCCCTGCTGGAAATTTGTTGGATGTGGAAAAGACCATCTCCTTCTTCTCGCCGGAATGCCGGAGAGCAGGCATTGCAAATTTCGCACGGCTATTGACTATGCATACCAGTGTGAGACATCCAATCCTAAAATAATCTCATCTATCATGTCAGCAACTATTACGTTTACCTTGAGTTCGGTGCTACCTATTCCCAGTGTCACGATCGTCTCTCCAGAAACATTTAATGAACTTTATTAAGCTGTTTCTAGTAGCGGTATATTTTTAAACATCACTGAGTCCTTAAGAACCTTGTCGGCACCTTGATTTGATGCCCCTGTGTCGATGGTCGAATCTCTCATGTCTATAGTCATCTTTTTTCTATGCATTGCGGTATTCTGAATGGGAACGTTTTCGTAACTTCTGCTTATATGTTCTCTCTCTGCCGCAACCATAACACTTTATTGGTCTTCTAGATCTTGAATCGCGATATTCTTTCACGCAGTATTGCTGCACTTTTACCTTCAGCTATTGAAAAATATCTGCTCCGGTGTTCGAGCTTTATTTGACCTGACTTACCTGACTTAGGTACCTAATTTGGCGAGGCGGTTTTGGCAGCTTCATACTCCGGTGCATAAACAACGGTTTTGGCAAAGGGTTCTACTCATTCTTAGTGATTGTTGAAGGTCCTTATCTCTTATTCCTGCAGCGTCTCCGATGGACCTTGCACTCAGTTCTTCAGCTGGGTCTAATAAGCTTGACACTGTCGTTGTTGGCTTCAACGCGATTTTTTTCTTCTTGTCTTCTGTATTATTTCTTCTCGAATTTTTCGCGAAATGTCTATGTTTCGCCTTCAGCTTTTCCTCGAACTGTTTTAATTTCGCCATTGGCTTATTGTAGAATGTTTGGAACAATTTGTTGGTACTGGCAACATCCTTCCTTCTTTCTTTGTTCCCGTTCTTAGTGTTTAAGTGTCTTCTCTCTCCTGTTTTCTTTTTATCGTCTCTTTGATCTTGCAAATTTTTTTGGAGCCGATCCTGCTTTTCCTGTTTTTCTTTATCTCTTTTCCCATCCGAAAGTTTTAATAAATCGAGCACATGCTTCAGCTTCATTCGATCTTCTATTTCGGGGATCTGTTGTCTCCATTCCAGTTTAATTTAATCTCGAGTTAAATTCAAAGTTAGTGTCAAATGATAGCTTATGAAAATCTAAAATAAAAATGTAAGACTGGTTTTGCTCACAAGTCAACCTTTTAGGTTTTACAGCCCGTCAAAGTTGCAAAAAGGTACACTTTGTTTCACGAGGGTTTATACTTGTGACATAATTTGCCTTCCTTTTTCAACAAATAGAAATTGACTGAAACAAATCCATGACGTCAAAAACTTTCGTCGGTTCTCAAACCAGAAGTGTACGCTCCAGGAGACTGTGATTTTCTGGATGGTATTTTCTAATAATCCTGATGGTTTAGGACAGACAGGACTTAAAGTCACGGCACTTGCACTAGGGCGCAAGACAGGTAACATACAACCAGATTAAAGCACTTGTTGTAAGTTGGGAAGAAGACCCCAGCCAGACAAAGCACTTGCTATAAGGGTGAAGTTAAAAACCTGTAACCAGACAAAGCACCTGCTCCTGCTACAGGTTTATGGAAGGGCCGAATGTAACCAGACAGAGCACCTGCTACAACAAGGCTAAAGCAAAAATAATTGTTAGAGCGCAGTCTCTCGACTCTACTAGCATTGCTAGGCCGATACGATAAATGCTGATTTTGCAAATACCAATGATCGTCATTTGCAATAATAAAAAGTAGGTTGCTTATAATTAATTAACTCTAATATGTAGGGGAACCCGGGGCAGAACGGCATACCGGGGCACAACGGAATAGGCCTCCTAACACCAGCCGCAACCAAAATAGTAAATCGAAATCGCCTTACCCTAGTAGACTATACTCTATTATGTTTTGATAAATGCCAGTGCGAAAACAACTTTAGTCTAACGGAATTCATACATGTCCATATTTGTGAATAAATTTTATAATTTTTTGCGAAATTTAATGACAAAGTAAGTATTGTACACAAATAATAAGTCATTGTTATTATATTTTTCACGTAGTACATGATGTCAAGCATTAGTGGTGGAAGTGTTGATATTTTTCCTCAATGATATTGTTTTATTTTTTTTGAAAATATTTTTAAACCAAATTCGGGGCAGAACGGATCGGGGCGGAATAGTCTAGGGTACCATTCTGCCCCGCCCGCATGAAATCAGGGGGCGGAATAGTCTAAGGTACCATTCTGCCCCGCATAAAATTAGCAAGCAGTCTTTTCAATTATAAGAAGAGATTCACGCATGTGGTCTTTAATAGAATGCAGTCCAGATGAATCAATACCAGAATATAAATTGGCAATAAATAAAAAACCCAAAAATAAAAAAGTTATTCACTCGAAAATTATGCAAAAGAATAATAAAAAAAAAAACAAACAAAACACAAGGATTCCTGTAAACGTCGAAACAAGTTCTTACATCAGCGAAAGTGAAAGTGATGATGCCCAATGCCTCTACAGTCTTTTACTCAAAATCTCTAGAAGGTTAGATATCATGCTCAATCTGCAAAAAATGGGCTCATAATACTTGCGCGGGTATCGATAGCGGCGAGGATGAGACTGTGTTTGTCTGCAAAATCTGGCAATAAGTTTAAGATTTCTATTAAATTGTGTATTCAATATTTGAGTGTGCAAAACTGACAACGTAAACGTCGTCATTGGCACATTGGTTC